AAAAAAGAAAGAAAAGGAGTGGGTGGCCGCTGAGCAGAACAGTCGGAACGCATTGTTCTGGTTTTCCTTCTCCTGAGGGGTGTGTCCTTGGGTGCCTTTGGGTCAGTTCTGACGTACAGCAGGACCAGACACCGCGACATTCTGTACCATCCCTGTTGGATCCCATTTTCAGTCTGTCACACCATCTCCTTGCTCTCCTTTCTCATTCTCTCTTTTTTTTAAATCACTTTATTGGGGGCTTGTACAACTACCACAATCCATACATACATCCATTGTGTCAAGCACATTTATACATTTGTTGCCCTCATTCTCAAAACATTTGCTTTCCACTTGAGCCCTTGGTATTAGCTCATTTTTTCTCCTCCCTCCCCGCTCCCCTCCCTCATGAACCCTTGATACTTTATAAATTATTATTTTGTCATATCTTACACTGTCCGACGTCTCCCTTCGCCCACTTTTTTGTTTTTCATCCCCCAGGGAGGAGGTTATATGTAGATCCTTGTAATCGGTTCCCCCTTTCTACCCCACCCTCCCTCCACCTTCCCGGTATTACCACTTTCACCACTGGTCTTGAAGGGATCATCTGTCCTGGTTTCCCTGTTTCCAGCTCCTATCTGTGTCAGTGTAGCCAGATTTGTAAAGTAGAATTGGGATTATGATAGTGGGGGGTGGGGTGGGGAGCATTTAAGAACTAGAGGAAAATTATATGTTTCATTGTTGGTACACTGCACCCTGACTGGCTCATCTCCTCCCCGAGACCCTTCTGTAAAGGGATGTCCAGTTGCCTACAGATGGGCTTTGGGTATCCACTCTGCACTCCCCCTCATTCACAATGATATGATTTTTTGTTCTTTGAAACGTAATACCTGATCCCTTCAACACCTTGTGATCACACAGGCTGGTGTGCTTCTTCCATGTGGGCTTTGTTGCTTCTGAGCTAGATGGCCCTTGTTTACCTCCATTTCTTTAAGACCCCAGGCACTATATCTTTTGATAGCTGGGCACCATCAGCTTTCTTCACCACATTTGCTTATGCACCCATTTGTCTTCAGTAATCATGTTGGGAAGGTGAGCATCATGGAATGCCAGTTTAACAGAACAAAGTGTTATTGCATTGAGGAAGTACTTGAGTGGAGGCGTAATGTCTATCTGCTACCTTAATACTAAGCCAATAAATATATGCACATAGATGTGTTTCCCCATCTTCATAAATGTAGTTACATATGTACATGCCTGTCTTTAAACTTCTATAAATTCCGTTTGCCTCCTTGTTCTTTCCTTTATTTTCTTTTGCTTTCCTTTTGTCCCACTCTCATGCTCAGCCTTCTTTTGGGTTTCAGGAATTCCTCTCAGTTGCATTTTCCTTGATCAGCCCCTACCAGGCCTCTTACACCCTCCTTGTCCCTGGGGTGGTTAACACCACTTCCTTTTTCCCACTTCCCCCTGCCCTGTTGTTTTCTCCTCTAAATTGTTTATCCAGCCTATCTTATCTAGATAGACCTGCAGAGATAATAATCTGCACAAAAACCCAAGACAGAACAAGACAAAGCGACAAAAGCAAACAAAACAACAAAATGACAAAGCCTGTAAATAGTTCAAGGTCTGTTTGATGACCTTTAGGAGTGTTTTCTGGTCAAGTCTGATGGGGTGCCACACCCTGGCCCCAAAGTCTGTTTTTGGTACTCCCTCTGGACTTCCTTGCTCTGAGCCCCTTGCTTTTCTGTTGCACACCCTTAGTGTTTTGCCTCGGTGTGGTGGGGTCAAATCAGGCTCAGTTCCCACACTGTCTCCAGTGTTATCCCCTGTAGGGCTATGGGTCAGTGAGAGATGTATTTCATAGTGTGGCCAGCCCTATGGTCCTCCCTGTGCATTGACTGCTCTGAGCATGGATATTGTTCTCAAGGCTTGGTGGGCCAGTATGTGCTCCACTCTCTCTTCCTCCCCCTTCATGACATGTCCCTCTCCCTGAGCTGTAGCTTCAGTGCTGTCCTCTGAAAAATTCTTCTGGGGGGAGGGGCAGCCATCCATGTAGTTGTGATTGGGGCCAGCTCCCCCCACCCCCCTTTTTCATTCTCACCGAGCCTCTATGGCAGTGATTCTCAGCTTTTCTGATGCGGCAGTCCTCTAATACAGTTCCTCATGTTGCGGTGGCCCTCAACCATAAAATTATTTGCCTTGCTACTTCATAACTATAATTTTGCTACTGTTATGAATCGGCAACCCCTGTGAAAGGGTCATTTGACCCCCAAAGGGTTTGCGACCCACAGGTTGAGAACCGCTGATCTATTGTGTCCTCTAGGGATGGGTCCCTCTGAATGGCAGGTCCGAAGTACGGGCGAAAAGGTATTGGCCCTTGTTGGTTCTGAGGAACCTCTAGCTGTACTTCTTCCCAGACAGA